TATATATATATATATATATATATATATATATATATATATATATATATATATATATATATATATATATATATCTATATTTCTATATTTCTATATATTTCTATAGATATTTGTTTCGAGGATATGTGTGACTCGCTGCACACAACTATTCCGTTATGACCGTGAATCTGTTCATGTAGACGACACTGTGACGATACATTTGTTGAAGAGTGTATATGTTATTTATTTCTAATATACATATCACATAATTCGCATCCTCAATCGATCGAGACAGGCAATAATTGCAGTCCATCACCATCACATTAGCTTGGACTATGGTGCTGTAGTCAACTGTAGATCACACCTCATGATCTGTGCGATTAAATTTAGGCCCTCTTTTTACCGCACCTTTTTGCGCCATTTTATTCTCTTTCCCCCATTAGGAATATTTCATTCGTTTCTGTTTTTCTTCTTCTTTGGTATAAATATGGTTAATAATGTATTTGTTCATGTGTTTTTGGTATTAGGAATGACCATTGTGTTTTGTTTATTTGTATTGAGTGTGCGAATGCTGTCTTTCCTTCACCAGTTGTGTCTGTGCCTGTTCCTTGCACGGATTCGCCAAGTGCTGCTGCTGCAGTAGTTGATCAGAGTATCGAATGCATACAGTTTCCAATGCTCTCTAACGATGTGTGGTCCTGAATCAAATCGGGGATTGTACCTTGAAATAGATATATTTATCACTTCTCAACTGTGTATCGTTACAAGTTATCTCGCCATAGCAACAGACACCAACATTATGTTCAATCTCGAAACCCTAAACCCTACGCCCTAGCCAACCCTCTTACCCGCTCCACACTCAAACCCTACTACATACTACCTGGCCTGTGTCACACCACAGTGGCTGTACGGACAGTTGGTGCTGGTCAGCATAGGCGTGTTGAGCGCTGCAGTACACCTCACAGTGCACATGTGGGTGCCCACCCACACACACCCGAGCCAAGACATCGCCTACTACCACATACTCAGTGACCTGTCTTACGCCTTCTCCTGGCTGCTGTGTGGTGTGCTGCTGCGCTCGGACCACCACAACAACAGAACGGCAGGCGTCTTCACACAGCTGTTCTGGGTCAATCTGGCGGCCACGCGAATTGTTGAGCTGTGTTCGTATCGCAATGAAGAGTGGTTCAAGTAAGTGGGTGGGTATGGGGTTTGTCAGTATTGTTTGTGAATACGGGTGTGTGGCCGTGATTGAGCTTTCGGGTCGTATGGGTGGGTGCGCGGCTCATTATGAGAGTGTGGAATTGAGTGTAACTTGTATGTATAGTTGTAGGTATACCTGTAGGTATGCTTTAAATTTCGGCGGGTTGTGATGACCTTGTGCATATAGCCATGTCCTGACCATAGAAGACATTGATGGGTTTATATGCCATCGACTGGTGGTTAGGGTTTATATGCCATCGTCTGGTGGTTAGGGTTTATATGCCATCGTCTGGTGGTTAGGGTTTATATGCCATCGTCTGGTGGTTAGGGTTTATATGCCATCGTCTGGTGGAAGCGAATTTCATAAATATGGCATCGTAGTATTTGAATATGCAGCTTGACCATGCCTAGCAACAATAGACAGGGTTGTTGCATTGCATTGTTTACAGAAGCAGAGTTTTTTTTTAGGCTAAACTTTAAATTCTAAAATCCAATTCTAAAATCCCAAACCGTAAACCGTAAACCAAAATTCCTAATTAAATCGGTAGGCTTAGCCGTGTTCTGTGAACACACGTACAATCACGTTTTAGTGCGTTTGGGTGTGTGACCGTGCCTATACGCTTAATCGAATGTGTGTGTGTGAGTGAGTGTGCGTGTGTATAGTGATCCAACCCATCCAAAGTTCCGTATTATTCTGCGAATATATATATATATCGTTCCTTGTATTTTATTAATATCTTGCTACTTACATTCCATATATATTCCTATATTCTATTCATACCCAGTCCTTTATATTCTATTTGTATCTCGTTCCCTGTATTCCAATTTGCACATAGTGTCTATATTCTATTTATACCTGGTTTCTTAAAGTATATTTATATCTCGCTTCTTATAATTTTTATTTTTTCATCTTTCTTGTATTTCCCGCAGCTTCACGAGTGGCCTGGGCGTGATTGATTTTGTATTGTGCATGGTGGGGCTCCATCTCCCCGTTGCCCTGACCATAATTGACACCGTAACCAAGCAACAGAGAGCAAAAAAAGGTGTTTC